AATTAGACTCTATTCAAGAGAGTCTATTCTATTGGCTTTCAAAAGCCAATAGAATAAAAGGGAGTAGCACAGCTAAGGAAAAGGGGGAAAAATGGCGGACTGCGTTGTTTGGCGACCCCCATGAAATGGTCATTTGACCCCAAATGGGGTCCTGACCCACAGGTTGAGAACCACTGCCCTAGTGGGTCAAAAGTCGCCCTGGAGGGGCGATCACCGAGAAGGAGGCTTGCTGGTGACTGCGGGAGAGCGGCAGCTTCTCCCGCGGCCCCAGCTATTTCCTTAGGGCCGACGGAGTAACAATCATCCTGCAAGATGGCTGATTACCCTGCTGCACCAGCCGAAGTCATAATTACAGCTAAGCTATCTTAGACCCACCACGGAGGATCCGGGTGAGACTCTTTTTGCCCCTCTCTTTCCCCCACTTGGTTTTTTTTTTCCCTGAAAAAACTTGGTTGGAATTATTTCCCCATTTGGAAAAGGCAGCTTCTGTGTGCATGGGAAGAAAGGCGTTGAGAACAAAGAATTTTTTAAAGGCTACACTCTATTTTTAGTTATTTTGGGATACAGGAAAAAATGCTGTTTCGAATTGTGTAAGTAGCTAATATTGGAAGATTATTTTTTCCCCTACTCCTTCCTTTAAAACAGGGCTTCTCAACCTTGGCAACTTTAAGACTTGTGGACTTCAACAAGTCCACAAGTCTTAAGTTGTCAAGGTTTAGAACTCCTGCTTTAAAAAATAGAAAAAAGGACAAAAAAATAGTGTCTGGAAAAGACTTTCTATTTACTGAGGACATCTAGTGGTGAAAAGTTAATATTGCAACTATTCTTTGAAGAGAAAGATTTGACCTTCAGATTATTCCTGGAAAAGATAAGCTGGTGCAGCTGTGGGAACTGAGGGGGTGGACACTGTTTAATTACAGCCCTCATTAAAAAAATAATGATAATAAAGAAAGGACTTCCTTTGATTACTTTAAAAATGGAGAAACCCTACCCTCACTTAAACTGTAAGCTTATGCTGGAAAAAATCTATGAGGTTTCTGAAGAAATACATGCTATAAGGAAAGGGATTGTTACAGAACGAAGAGTTAATTCTACCCCAAACATTCAAACTGACTTTCAGACTACAACTGTTTATTCTACAAACCAAAACATACCAGAAGAGGAATTAAGGGAGATTAAAGAGGAATTCATTACAAGGAAAGAGAATACCACAGAATTAAGAACCAGAGATTCTTCCTTAAATCTGAAAAGTGACTTTCAGACTACATAGGTTCACCACCACTGATCTATGGAGTTTCTCAATCATCCAAGTCATAGTTATCCCAAAGATGCTTTTTCATGAGGCAACTGGAAAGTTATGTTCAGTAGAAGGTCAGCAGGAAGTCGGTAGAAAGTCAGGAAAAATCAGCAGACCATCTGACTACAGTCTTAGAACGAGAAAGGATATAAAGGGTTGGGACTGGACCTGATTGATTTGCCTTTGGTCTATAGCTGTCCTTTTGGAATCTGCTATGCCATGTGGTCCTCATTGCAATGGGTTATTAATGTAAGTGATGTTGTATTATTACGCTTGCTATGTTCCAAATTATTAGAAAAATAAACCTCTGAATCTTAAAATAAGAATTATTGTTTTGTGTTGCTGTCTCTTGTCTTTTCCATTAGGTTTTTTCCATGAAAATAGGTACTCCTTGATTTACGACCACAACTGAACCCCAAATTTCCGTTGCTAATCAGGACAGCTGTTAAGTGAGTTTTGCCCCATTTTACGACTGTCCTTGCCACAGTCGTTAGGTGAATCGCTGCAGTCGTTAAGTTAGGAACATGGTAGTTAAGTGAATCTGGATTCCCCTTCAGTTCAGACAACCCCAGAACGTCACAACTGTCATAAATGTGAATTAGTTAACAAGCATCCGAATTCTGATCACATGACGATGGAGATGCTGCAACGGTCATAAGTGTGAAAAATGGTCAGAAGTCACTTTTGTCTCTAAACAAATGTCGGTAAGTCAAGGACCACCTATACCAGGGGTAAGCAACCTTGGCTCTTTTATGACTCGTGGACTTCAATTCCCCAAATTCCTGAGTCAGCCATGCTGAGGGAAAGGGAGAGTTTTCCAAGCTGAGCCATGCTGGTTCAGGAATTCTGGGAGTTGAAGTCCGCAAGTCATGAAGGGGCCATAGTTCCCAGGCATGCTGGCTCAGGAATTCTGGGAGTTGAAGTCCACAAGTCATGAAGGGGCCATAGTTCCCCCATGTTGGCTCAGGAATTCTGGGAGTTGAAGTGCACAAGTCATGAAGGGGCCATAGTTCCCCCATGCTGGCTCAGGAATTCTGGGAGTTGAAGTCTATGTGTCATTAAAGAGCCAAGGTTGCCTACCCCTGTCCTATACTACCCCTGCATTTCAACCAGAGATTAAATAAACTCTCAAGGTAAGTAATAAATGAATAAATAAATGCTATATTGCATCCCTTAATGACTTTGCTTTAATCAGACCTAGACTTTTAATTAACCTACCAAGACAAATTACAGCCAATGGCTCTCAGGTAGTTATTGAATACAGCAGAGACTCAACACTACAGCTGCTTGGGGAAGAAGGAGAAATGTCGGTCCCCACAACGAAGTGTCATTGTGCAGTCCAGGGGGGGAAAAATAAATAAATTAGACCATTAAACAATCCTTGTGGTTGGGAACACGGTATATGTATATTTTTATAGAAGAGTCTGAAGTGGATTAGCAAAGATTAAATATAGTTGTCTTGAAATATAAAGCAGCTGCAGATGGGGTTAACCTATGTGGGTACTCATTTTACCAACCCCGGAAGGATGGAGTCAATCTTGACCCGGTGAGACTTGAACTACCAAACTGCTGGCAGCTGGCAGCCGGCAGTCAGCAGAAATAGCCTGCAGTACTGCATTCTAACCACTGCGCCACCATGGTTTTAAAAGAAACAAACCACATCGAAATGAACCCAAGAATCAAATGAGGGGGTCTTCAAATAACAACATATTCAGGTTTCCATCGAGTGAAAAAGAAAACTGACCACTGAGTCTGCTGGCCAAACCATGTCCTATTGTAACTCTAAAAAATTCTTGGATTAAGTGTGAATTCCTGGATAGCCAAAAGGAGACCATCCATTCCAAGGACAGTATGTGGTCAATCCACAATTGCAACCTTAACCCTTCAAACTGAAAAATGTATGGCATGGCTAGATTTATTGGGAAGAGAAGGACGGTCCGGAGAAGAAGCCATTTTGAAAATATAGCCCATATTATTCGGTATTAAATATTACATTAAACCACTCCTTTTCATCCCCACAAGATCACGTTTGTGCTTCTTTTGCTGCAGCACCCAAACCATGTTATGACATTATTTACCTTAAGTGTGCTAGTAGAATAGCCTATCAAAAAGAGTAAACAAAAAAATATTTTACCCAAAACCAACTCAATAAACTTAAGTTGGTTTACTGCAAAATGATATTCTTATGTTTTCTAACTCTGGCAACTTCAGGTTTGTGGACTTCAATTCCCAGAATTCTTTATCAAGTGGTGGAATTCTGGAACTTGAAGTCCACCCATTTGGAAGTGGACAAGTTTACAAAATCATGTATTATATAATGTAGTTGGATAGGCTTGTTATGGAAAGCTAGCTTTTTGTCCTATCATCTTGTATGAACTAGATTATTATCATGAATGCTTGCTCCTGGGGAGGAAAGCTATGGCAAATCTAGACAGCATACTAAAAAGCAGAGACATCACCCTGCCAACAAAAATGCATGTAGTCAAGGCCATAATTTCCCCAGTTGCAATGTATGGCTGTGAAAGTTGGACCATAAGAAAGGCTGAGCGCCAAAAGAATTGAGGCCTTTGAACTATGGTGCTGGAGAAGACTCCTGCGAGTCCCCTGGACTGCAAAACAATCAAACCGGTCAGTCCTAGAGGAGATCAACCCCGACTGCTCTTTAGAAGGCCAGATCCTGAAGTTGAAACTCAAATACTTTGGCCACCTAATGAGAAGGAAGGACTCACTGGAGAAGGGCCTAATGCTGGGAAAGATGGAGGGCAAGAGAAGAAGGGGACGACAGAGAATGAGATGGCTGGATGGAGTCCCTGAAGCAGTAGGGGTGAGCTTAAATGGACTCCAGAAGATGGTAGAGGACAGGAAGGCCTGGAGGAACATTGTCCATGGGGTCGCGATGGGTTGGACATGACTTCGCAACTAACAACAACCACAACAACAATGTTCATGTTGTATATTATGTTGTATGAACTAGGTATGTCTAGTCTAATGAAGAGATGGGCTTGGGATGAATGATAGCAGTGTTCCAATATCTAAGGGGCTGCCGCAAAGGGGGGGGGAATCAACCAAAGCACCTGAAGGCAGAACAAGAAGCAACGGATGGAAACTCATCAAGGAGAGAAGCAATCTGGAACTAAGGAGACAATAACAACAATTAATCAGCTTGCCTCCAGAGCCTGTGGGTGTTCCATCACTGGAGGTTTTCAAGAAGAGACTGGACAGCCATTTTCTCTGAAGTGCTATAGATCAGGGGTGTCAAACTGCCGGCACGTGGCCGGATGTGTCATGCCAAAACCATGCCCACCCCATTGCTGGCAATGGAAAAAAAAGTCGCGATACGTCGCGACACGTCATGTGACGTTGCGAGTTTGACACCCCTGCTATAGAGTCTCCTGCCTGAGCAGTGGGTTGGACTAGAAGACCTCTAAGGTCCCTTCCAACCTGTTATTGTATGTTAACTAGCTATGGCTCTCTTTAGTTGTGTGGATGTTTTCATGGGAGGAAGACAGGATCTGGTTCATTGAGCTAACTGGAAAACATAGATGTGGGGTCCTTGATGCTCTCTGGGTTTGGTGGGTTTTCTGGCAGACGTTTCATTACCCAGCTAGGTAACATCATCAGTGTCGCTAGCATCAAGGGCCCCTCAGTTCAACCATGAGCTGCAAATATTCCCTTTTAATTGGTAAAACTTAGATGCCCTTACCAATAGTGGTGGTGAGAAAGGAGACCAATTCGGATTCTTTTCCATCGTTGTAAAAGGCCAGATGCCACATTCCCGAATCCAAATACTGGATAAATCCTGTCTCATGGCTGGCTGGTGGCACAAAGCCCTTTTGTTGTCGTTGTGGTCCTTCTAGACTCCTGGCTTCCTGACTCAGCAGCCTCCGTCCGTCCAGCAGCTCGACAAAGTCAAACTGCAACATACACAAATGGGAAGAACACACGGGTTGAAACGAAGACTACCCTTATACTTTCAGGTCCTGGTCACAGAGAGTCCTCGACTTACAATAATTCAATTAGTAACCCTTCAAAGTTACAACAGCACTGAAAAAAGTTATTTATGACCACTTTTCACACTTACAACCGTTGCAGCCTCCCCGCGGTCATGTGATCAAAATTCAGAGGCTTGGCAACTGGCATGTACTTATGACAGTTGCAGTGTCCAAGGTCACATGATCCCCTTTTGCGATCTTCTGACAAGCAAAGTCAATGGGGAAGCCAGATTCACTTAACAACCACATTATTAACTTAACCACTGCAGCGATTCACTTAACAACTGTGACAAGAAAAGTCGTAAAATGGGTCTCTTAGTGACCATTCAAAATTACAATAGACTATCCTGGGGCTACCTATGGCCTGGTTCTGACTTTCTGATGGCTGGGCCCCCTTGAGGTCACATGAACGTATTTGGGGGTGATCAGCAACTGCTCCGCATTTACGACCATTTGTGGCATCTCGTGGTCATGTGACCGCGTTTTTATGATAGTTTTGCCACACACAAAAAAAACCCTTTGGCATTTACTTCTGTTTTTTCCCCACCAAATCGGCCCATAGCAGACAATGGATTCACTTAATGACCATCGTGTTCACTTAATGATTGTATTTTATTAAATGTCCCCCGTTCATTTAATGATGGCTGCCACGGACGTATAATGAGGTAGGTCATCTGGTTGACCCGCTTTACGACTGTCATGACTTACAACCATAATGGGTAGGCACCCTTCTGATCGCAAGTCGAGGACTCCCTGTAATTGTGTAAAAGCTAGAGACTAAACTACAAAATATATATTTCCCTCAGATTAACACAGGTGTACCCTCGCCTGGAAAATGGCCTGTTCTATTTCCCCTCGTAATCTGAAGCAGAGGAGTGAAGACAAGACCGGGGCCTTCTCAGTGGTGATAACCCAGGGGTCTTCAAACTTGGCCCTTTTATGACTTGTGAACTTCAACTCCCAGAATTCCTCAGGCAGGCACATGTGCCTGGCTGAGGAATTCTGGGAGTTGGTCCACAAGGCATAAAACCAAATTCTACAGCCATGAGAGAAACTATAGGATCCCTTCAGAACGATCTAAAATCTTGCCTTAGGGTGATTTACCACGGGATCCCAGCTTCCTCTAAATCTTATGAAAAGATAATAGAAAACAGAATACAGTAGTCCTCAGCTTACGACCACAATTGAGCCCAACGTTTCTGTTGCTAAGCGACACATTGTGAAGTGGGTTTTGCCCCATTTTACGACCTTTCTTGCTACAGTTCTTAGGTGAATCACTGCGGTTGTTAAGTTAGTAACACGGTTATTAAGCAAATCTGGCTTCCCCATTCACTTTGTCAGAAGGTCGCAAAAGGGGATCACATGAGCCCCGGGACACTGCAAACCGTCATATATATGAGTCAGTAGCCAAGCATCTGAATTTTGATCAGGTGACCATGGGGATGCTGAAATGGTCGTAAGTATGAAAACAGTCATAAGTTATTTTATTCAGCGCCCTTGCAATTTTGAACGGTCACTCAATGAATGGTTGTTAAGTAGAGAACTACCTGTCATAAAGAGAGGGGAAGCGCATTCAGTCTTGAAAGATTCTGTTCCTTTAGCATTACAATAAAAGGAGTCCTGGGATTTCCTTGTGGTCCCCCATCCCAGTCTGACCATTATGGGCTTTATTATGCAATTAAACGAACTAAGTTCAAAGCACAAGTAATAATCCTTCTAGTTTTATTTGCATCGATCCGATCTCCTCAGAATTCACCTCACCTGGGTGTGCGAAGGTGGGAGTCCTTTTCTTCCATAAATCCCAACCAGGGCCGATTTTCCCAACGAAACATTAAATTTCAAATGTACAGGATGGTCAATGAACACCTGAGATCTCCAAAATAGGCTGGGAGGGATTTTCTGCATGACTCGTCTGCCAACGTCAATCTCTCCGGTGTCTATAAAACTGTCTTCAGGAAAAAAAGTACTGGACTTTCCTGCTGAGATATAGGAAAATAAAAACAAAATCTTGGATTAAATGAAGATTCTCTTCATTGAAAAATTATCTCCTCTTTGGACAATCAAGGCATTTCCCCCCCCCCCAGTCTGAGAGACTGTAAAACCACCAATTTCCAATCTTCTATTCCTTTGGAATTATTACTGAAATTATTTTTTTAAAATGTTACATACTAGATAAATTTTGTTAGATATCTTTCTTTCCTCTGCTGTCATTTTTACGGTCCTTTTACAGGAGCAAGGTAGGCAGAAATACATATTAAGGCTACCTTCAATTGATTGTTGTTGTTATTGTTATTATTATTACTACTGTTGTGTCTTTATTTAGGAAAATATCTTTTCGGAAAGAAAAAAAAATAGAAAAGTACCTCTTCAGACAATTACAGTCAGGTTTTATTTGTATGAATGCCTTTCCTTCTGTGTTTGTTGTTATTGGAAAAGTAGGAAAAAATGAAATTAAAAACCACAAAGAATAGGAACCTGAAAATTTAATAGTTAACTTTTTTTTTAATCTCTTCGCACCCTTTGAATTTTCTCATTATTAATTTCTTTGCTCCCAAATTTAAAATTTAAAATCCTTAGTCTCTTTTCTACAAGTGTATTAACAGAGAAGCTGCATAGCCTCTGCGCACTAAACCTGGTTTTTTTTTAAAATTTGTTTTAATCTCTTATAATTTATTCTGGTGTTGAATTTATAATTGCTTTTATTTCCATATGTTTTATTATGTGGCAAGCCGCACAGTGTCTTCTCACACCATGAGTCGAAAGGGAAGTAAATTTGATAAATACAGGTAGTCCTCAATTTACGACCACAACTGAGCCCAAAATCGCTTACTAAGCAAAAAATTTGTTACGTGAGTTTTGCCCCATTTTACGACTTTTCTTAAGTGAATCGCTGCACTTGTTAAGTTAGCAACACCACTGTGAAGTGAATCTGGCTTCCCCCATTGACTTTGCTTGTCAGAAGGTCACAAAAGGTGATCGCAACCGTCGTAAGTACATGCCAGTTGCTGAGTGCCTGAATTTTGATTACATGACCATGGGGATGCTGTAACGGTCATTAAGTGTGAACAATGGCCATAAATCACTTTTTTCAGTACTGTTGTAACTTTGGTCACCAAATGAACTGTTTTAAGTTGAGGATTACCTGTACGTAAAAATAAATCATCTTCCTGTTTTTGCCCCCATTGAGGTTACTAGACCTCAGTGGGCAAATTTGGGGCCCTCCTTTTAAAAATTATTCATACATTTCTGCAACTTGGTGTGCTTTTGTGACCCTTGCTAGAGCTTCACACTTATCTGTAGATGTGTAATTTTGAGCTCATAGGGCTGGCTAGCCATCCCTGAATTTCAGAAATACATCAAGCTCACAGAAAGATAAACCTCTAAATCTATATTTCTCCATCTTGGAAACTTCAAGAGGAGTGGACTTCAACTCCCAGAAGTCCCCAGCCACCCATGCTGGTTGGGGAATTCTGGGAATTGAAATCCATCCCTCTTTGAGGAAAACCGCTCTTATGCCAAGATGGAGACAGCGCTGTCATTTTCTTCCTTTGTTGAAAAATAAATGGAAGTGGTTTTTGGGGAATAAAGAATTAAAATGCTCCCTCTCCTGCCGCAGTCTTTTTATGTAGCCAAATTCCCTGACAATACCCTGTTTAATGGAGGTATATTCTTGCAGCCGTAACATATTTTTATATTCCAGATAGTAAAAGTCTACTTAAAACTTAAGTGATTCCATCTGTTAGGAAGTTAACACAAATCCCCCCCTGTGGACAGATTAGCTGCTTTGGTGTTAGTTTATTTAAAATATGTGCGGTATTTGTGGGTATGTGAACATTCAACTGAAAAGAGATACGTTTTCTTGTACAGAGAGTGGAATTTACACAGACAACCATTGAAAACTCTGCTGCCGTTCCACAAACATCTAATAATGGAAGTCTCGTCTCACCCACATGAAAATAAGCAATTTTTGAATTCAGCTTTCCAACATTTACGGCTCAATAAAATCAAGCACAGGCAGCCCTCAGCTGACAACAGTTTCGTTCAGTGACCGTTCAAAGTTACAACGGCACTGAAAAAAAGTGACATAATGACTGTTTTTTTCACACTGACGACCGTTGCAGCAACCCCACGGTCATGTGATCAAAATTCAGGTATGCTTGGCTCTTGGCTCGTATTTATGACGGTGGCAGTGTCCTGGGGGATCATGTGATCATCTTTCCTGACTTTCTGACAAGCAAAGTCAACGGGGAAGCCAGTTTTACTTAACGACCGTGCTACTAACTTAATTGTGGTGGTAAGTCAAGGACTATCTGTATCTATAGAGGAGCCTGTTGTTTCTGAATAAAGTCCCGAATAGTAACCCCTTTAAAATACAGGTAGTCCTCGACTTACGACCATAACCGAGTCCCAAATTTACATTGCTAAGCAAGACAGCTGTTAAAGGAGTTTTTGCCTCGTTTTATGATCTTTCTTCACAGTTGTTAAGTGAATCACTCTTAAATTAGCAGCCCTGTTGCTAAGCGAATCTGCCTTCCGCATTGACTTTGCTGGTCAGAAGGTCGCAAAAAGGGATCACGTGACCCCGGGAGACGGCAGCCATCATAAATATGAATCAGTTGCCAAGCGTCTGAACTTTGATCATGTGACCCTGGGGATGCGGCAACAGTCTTAAGCGTGAAAAGGGGTCAAAAATCAATTTTTTCCAGTGCCGTTGTAACTTTAAATGGTCACTAAATGAATGGCTGTTAACTCGAGGACTACCTCTATATGGAGGCTTGACTAAGAGCCCTCTGGGCTTTGGGCTTAATATGCTGAGCAATCTTTAGTCTGATTGTCTGGATGACAGTGTGGCAGGATCAAGGAGGAGATCTGGGTGCAAAGCCTCTAAGTCTAATCCCTTCTTGGCTTCTGAACTTTCTGCTTTCTGATCTCAGGAGGCAACATGATCATTAACCAATTAACGGGATCCTTTCTGGGGATTTGTGCCCCATTTTTAGCACGCCCTTTCTCACGCTGGTGGAAAACTTTGGGTGAGAGGGAGATGAAAGCAATTATAATGTGTTCATTTTCCTGGACATAGCAATGGCTTCCTTTGCAGTGGACCACATGTTTTTCTGGGTCTTTGCGGGTTCTCATTTTCATATGCCATAGAGTGGCCTGGTCTGTGTCTCTCTGTTTCTCTCTCTATATATCCTTTGTCTATTATCTCTCCATTCTCTCTCTCTCCCTCTTCCTACTTACCTCTATCTCTCTATTGCCTATCTATCAATCATCTGTCTGTCTTCTGTCTCTATCCATCCTCTGGCTGCTAATCATCTCTCTCTCTCTCTTCTATCCATCCTCCCTCTCTCTCCTCTCCCTTCCTACCTCTGTGTCTCTATTGTCTGTTAATTATCAATCATCTGTCTGTCTTCTGTCTCTATCCATCCTCTGGCTGTTCTATCTATCTATCTATCTATCTATCTATCTATCTATCTATCTATCTATCTATCTATCTATCTATCCATCCATCCATCCATCCTCTCTGTCTCTCCTCTCCCTCCCTATCTCTATGTCTCTACTGTCTGTTAATCTATCAATCATCTGTCTGTCTTCTGTCTCTATCCATCCTCTGGCTGTTATCTGTCTGTCTGTCTGTCTGTCCGTCCATCCGTCCATCCATCCATCCATCCTCTCTGTCTCTCCTCTCCGTCTCTATCTCTATGTCTCTGTCTGTTAATCTATCAATCATCTGTCTTCTGTCTCTATCCATCCTCTGGCTGTTATCTGTCTGTCTGTCTGTCTGTCCGTCCATCCATCCATCCTCTCTGTCTCTCCTCTCCGTCTCTATCTCTATGTCTCTGTCTGTTAATCTATCAATCATCTGTCTTCTGTCTCTATCCATCCTCTGGCTGTTATCTGTCTGTCTATCTATCTATCTATCTATCTATCTATCTATCTATCTATCTATCATTTCTATCCATCCTCTCTGTCTCTCCTCTCCCTCCCTACCTCTATATCTCTATTGTCTGTTAATCTATCAATCATCTGTCCGTCTTCTGTCTCTATCTATCCATCCTCTGGCTATTATCTATATCGTTTGTCTGTCATCTATTTATCATCTCTCTCTCTCTCTCTCTCTCTCTCTCTCTCTCTCTCTCTCTCTCTCTCTCTCTCTCTCTCTCATCTATCACTCTATTTCTCTATCTCTGTATCAGAGAACATACAAAGAGATCCATGATGGCCAGGCAGAGTGGCCAGGTTCTTACTGATCCCCGAATGAACATAGATGAACTGGAATCTGGTCACTGACATCTGAACTAATAAAGCCATTATTAGAAAACAAAAACACCGAACCCTCCCCCTCAAAACAGCCCAGTGGATGCTTCAGGTACATGCGATTGCTCTCTGCATGTGGCTCTGAAGTCACAGTTGAGTTCTAGATTTTTCCGTTGTGAGCCAGAACATTTGGAGAAGAGAGAACAGATTTTAATTCAGCTAGATTATCAGCATGGCACAAAAAGTTCTTAATTTCCCCATCTTTTTACTTTAACGGGGAAAAATTGTTCTGCTCTCATAGCAGAAGCAATCCTGAGTTTTATTGTAGCACACAACGCTTAGCTCTAAGGAAAGACAGGATTTTACCTCAGGATTTTCTCCTGAGATACGGTGATAGGTTGTCAAGGTGCCACAATTTTCCTAAGCAAAGGATGATTTTTACATGGCTTTGAATAGTTAACAGTTTACTACTTTCAGCCAGTAGCAATGTCTTCTGGCATCCCGAGAAGCGAGATAAATTTTAGAAAACATGGCGTTCTCTTGGACAGTAAAGGATAGGAATGAACAACTTCCAGATGTTGAAGCACTGAGGAAAAAAAGTTAAATAATTGTGCTTCCTTTTGCTTCTACAGATAGTCCTTGACTTATGACTACAACTGGGGTCGGAATTTTGGGTCCATCGAAAGTCGGAGTCGCTGTAAATCAAGTTGCCAAGTGACTGGACCTGATTTTATGAACATTTTTACAATGGCTGTAAAAGGAGTCCCTGCGGTCATGAAGTGAATCACAGGGTCGTTAAGCAAATCCAGGTTCTCCAATGGGGGAATCTGCAAAGTCATTGGGGAAGCCGGCGGGAAAAGTTGCAAATCGTGATCATGTGATGAATCGCTTCACCACCACGGCAAAAAAAAAAAGTTGTAAAATCGGGTATGGCCACATAAATGCCTCATTCAATGACCGCACCACTTAATGCCAAATTTTCTGATCCCAGTTGCGATCGTAACTGGAGGATTACCTGTAGGTTTTCCACCAATTTCCAAAATGGGGAATAATTCAGGAATCTGGCCTCGAGATAGCAAATGAGGACGAAACATGTGGTTTCAGGGAGCTTTTAAACATATTTTGGCGTTAGGCATACATTTTACCAGCAAAATCACCATGGAAAACAGCAACAACAACAACAACAAAGAGTAATTAAGCAAGAAACATCAACATTTGGTAGCCCTGTGGGAGGGGGAAAGGAGCGTTAAAACAAACTATTTTAAATTATCAACACATGTCAAGGAAGACAGGAAGGTTTTGGAAGAACATACATAAATAAATAAACACACATGAAAGAGAATTATTATTTTTTCCCTTGATGGATGGCTCTGGACAGATTGTGGAGTGAAAATGTACGTTTGGGTCAGTGTTGGAGAAGGGAGAGATGACAACGTGAGTGCGTGCACAACTACTGACTCTAGAACATTCTGGAATGAAGAGGCAACTGGAGGGGAAGGCAATGATGTTATTATGAGGGTGGTTCTCTGGAATCCAGAGGCAGAGAGACACACAAGAAGGACAAACACATCAACCGTACCTTCCCCGGCTACTTTGCCTTTTCTCTCAGGTAACTCTATCCCTGTGCCCCCTGAGGCATGCAAGGTGACGTCTGTTGGCATTGGCCAACTGCCGGCTGTGTCTTCCGTGATCTCAAACATCTGCCCTTCCATCGGCTGCAGGTGCCAGTTTAGGCCAAACAGGTGCATGGCTGCGGTGAGCAACGAGAAAAGTCAACTTTGGGGTGGGGGAGAATCTTTCTTCGCCTAGCAGAATTGTGAAATGTGAAAAAAAACCAACAACAACCAGGGCTGACATTGGACGTTCAATCCTTCAGGGTTCCATAATCAGCATTATGGAATTTGTCTTGGAGGCCTTTGGGTTGATAGGTAAAGGCGGCTTGCATCTAGGACAGGGGTCTTCGAACTTGGCCCTTTTATGACTTGTGGACTTCAACTCCCAGAATTCCTCAGCCAGCCTGCCTGGCTGAGGAATTCTGGGAGTTGAAGTCTACAAGCCATAAAAAGGACAAGTTTGAAGACCCTTGATCTAGGAGAACATCCCTCAGTTGTATCTCCAGATGAGGCGGGCATTTTACCTCCAGAATTCTTCCCTGTATTGACCAAAATCTGGAGGAGGATTCAAGGTAATGCAGCTCCAACTCATTAGAGGAGTAGGCTTTATTGATAGACTAGGTGCAGGGAAATCTAGATTTTAGTCCACCACGAAAGCTAACCATGTGACTTCAGAGTCATTCATTCTTGCTCAGCCCAACAGAGATGAGTAGATCACCTGTTACAATCAGCAACAGGTCCTCCCTAACTGACCTTGGACTAAGCACATTCTCTCTCTCTGCCCAGCACCTTCGGCACCTTCGGCAACCAGCACCTCCCACACCTTCCCTTTTATAATGCAGCCAAGGCGTGGCTTCCTAATGCCTTCTCCTTTGCCTTTGGAGCCGCCCCATTTCATTCCTCTGTTCTACTCGCTTCTTTTGCCTGCGTTTTCGTGCATCCTGGATTTGTCCCAACTGTTCTTCATCACTGTCCAACTCAGGCTCCCAGCACAGCTGTGTCTCAGCCTGAGCGTGAGTAGAGGGGCCAGGCTTCTCGTCCAACTAAGTCTTGGCGCTCCTCAGAGCCTTCCTCTGACACTCATGTCACTCCAGGCCACTTCTCCCCATCTGATTCCTCAGACTCAGCTGCCGGATCATTGGCTGGCGAGGAATAACAACAACATCATGGTGTCTTGCCTCATTACTCTTGCTCTTTCACTTCTTCCAGCGCTAAACAAGCCCAACCTGCTTAGCGTTTTCAAGATTGGCGAAGATTGGCTAGATGCCTCCATCACCTTCTGTGAAACTGACAGAAGCAGCAATGCAATGTCTCTCAAGAATGGACGGCGTTATAAACACAAGAGGAGGTCAGTAGTACAATTTAGTCCTTGACATATAATGACAACTGACTCCAAAATTTCCATTGCTAAGCGAGACAGTTGTTAAGTGAATTTTGCCCCATTTTACGACCTTTCTTCCCACAAATGTTACGTGAACCGTGTTACCCCAAAAATAAGACCAGATCTTGTATTAATTTTTGCTCCAAAAGACGCATCAGGGCTTCTTTTCCGGTTAGGTCTTATATTCATGGAAATACGGTACTAAATGCGTCCGTCTGGCTGACGATCTTAACTGAGGCTTATTTTTTGGGGGGTGGGGCTTATATTATGAGCCTCCTGAAAAATCAAGCTAGGGTTTATTTTCTGGTTAGGTCTTATTTTCGGGGAAACACGGAAGGTTACTAATACGGTTAAATGAATTTGGTTTCCCCCGTTGACTTTGCTTGTCAGAAGTTCGTAAAAGGTGATCCCATGGTCCCGGGACACTGCAACTGTCACAAATACAAGCCAGTGGCCAAGAGTCCAGGTTTTGATCACGTGACCATGGGGAACGCTGCCAAGTGTGAAAGAACGGCCACTTTTTCCCCTGCCGTTTTGACTTCAGAAAGTCACTAAATGAAAGGCTGTCACTCAAAGGACTACTTGCAATGCAAGTAATGTTAGCTAACGGCAAAACTGCATCTAATAATTCAGCTCTCGTGACTAGCGAGGAGTGGGAGGATGCCTGCTGCACAAGGAGTACTGGCAAAGAGAAACAAACAGTGTGAACGCTTTGTGTGTCATGTTTTCTTTACACGTTAAATTAACACAGCAAAATGTGGCAAGTTTAAATAAGCCAACCACTGTGTCACAAGCAGCAGCAAAGCTCAGACGTAATTGGGCGACGCAGGCGGGAGGGGAAAGGTTTTATTAGCTATAAAGATAATTTTCCAATTTCAGTTTTCCAACCTCTGATTCCCACACAAACGCCGTCGCTGGCTAATTTTATGCCGCCTATTGAAAGCAACGTCACTCCTGCTTTTATGCGTCAGCCTTGCGAGGTAGTCCGGATAAGAAGCACAGCCAGGAGTGCCATCTCTGTCCCTTTGTTGTAAGGGGACGATAACAGAGCCATGCAAGGCTGAAAGGGTCTCTTCTCTCATCACCTTTAGGGTCCGGAAAACCAGGAAGAGTCCCTTCTGCGATCTTTGTCACCTCCTCTTCCTTCGGCGGGCTCAGCTGCCTCTTATCCCACTGTTTTCTAGCTTTTCCTTCTGTCTCCCAAGGTCATTTGCTTATACCCTGGCATTTCAGAATAACAGAATAAAGGAAGGGACCTTGGGAGGTCTTCTAGTCCAACCCCCTGCTCAAGCAGGAGACCAAATGGTTATCCAGTCTCTTCTTAAAAACCTCCAGGGTTGGAGCACCCACAGCTTTTGGAGGCAAGCCAAAAATAGCTTTTTTCCCCTCAAACTGTTTTGAATGCACGTAAGTAATTGGCAATGCAATCGCACCCTTCCTTTCTAAGAAGCCACTTGTTTGGGACTCTGCAAGTCGGGTATACAAACAGCAGCAGATCTGTTTTGATTTATTTGTTAGGCTGGCATTCAGCCTTTGGTTCCGTAGCTAATGGTAATCTATCTATCTATCTATCTATCTATCTATCTATCTATCTATCTATCTATCTATCTATCTATCTATCTATCTATCTATGTAGGTCTTTGGTTATTCGGGTTTTCTCCTGCGTCAAATTGGAAGTGTCTTGGTGACATTTCGACGAAGTCTCATTCGTCTTCTTCAGGCTGGTGTTTTCGGCTTCGTGGTTCTAGGAGCAATCTATCTATCTGTCTGTCTGTCTGTCTCTCTCTCTCTCTCTCTCCTTACCTAATTACATCTACCTACCTACCTACCTAATTACATCTATCTATCTATCTATCTATCTATCTATCTATCTATCTATCTATCTATCTATCTATCTCTTTACCTCTGCACCTACTTACCTACCTACCTAATTACATCTATCTATCTATCTATCTATCTATCTATCTATCTATCTATCTATCTATCTATGTTGTTGTTGTTGTTAATTGCGAAATCGTGTCCGATCCATCGCGACCCCATGGACAACGTTCCTCCAGGTCTTCCTGTCCTCTACCATCTTCTGGAGTCCATTTAAATTCACGCCTACTGCTTCAGTGACTCCATCCAGCCATCTCATTCTCTGTCGTCCCCTTCTTCTATTGCCCTCAATCTTTCCCAGCATTAGGCTCTTCTCCAGTGAATCTATATCTATCTATCTATCTATCTATCTATCTATCTATCTATCTATCTATCTATCTATCTATCTATCTATCTACCTTCCTATCTACCTATCATCAATCAATCATCTTGTCCTTTGGGAGCAGATCCTGGTTAGAACTTGACCAGCCAGACAATTCACACTTCACACGGATTGCATTCCCTATCTATCTATCTATCTATCTATCTATCTATCTATCTATCTATCTATCTATCTATCTATCTTTGTATCTGCCTCCCCTGACCTTGTTGCTCAGACCTGGCTTAAGCCATTTCTTCCCACAGTGAAGCTCATAAACGTGTTTTGTCCTCTCCCAACTAACAGAAGTTTCCTCTGTGAATGAAAAGACATTTCTGAGTCGCTAAGAGAATGCCTAAAAGCTAAGTGGGGGCTCGGAAATGGTCTCCCGATGATCTCCCTTGAAACCGCCTCAGCCCGAACCAATCGATCAAAATAAAGGCACTCAAAGCACAAAACACCTATTTTTCCACCTGGCGGGCAACGCTCAATAGATTTTTTTTTCTTCTCCCCCCCCCAACCTCCACGGAAGAACTGCCGTCTCCCAAAAGAGCAGAGTGCAATTAAAATCCATTTAAAAAGCGCTCAAAAGTTGCTCCACTGTGCAGCTATTGAGGGCTTAAGGCTCTGTGTGTGGCTTCTCTCTGCTAATTGAAACTACTTTGTTCTCTCTTTTTAGCAGCAGACACAGAAGTGGTGCCGCAGGATTTCAGCGGAACTGATTTTTTTATTTTTATTTTTAATGCCAAGGGCCCAAAATGCACCCTGGTGAAGAGGAGAGAAAGGATATCGCTTGCATGGAATCATTATTATGATCTGCAGACATCCTGTGTATTAATTCCTCTAAGGGAGTATATTAACAATCGATGCCTTTTATAATCCCTGAGGGAAGAATACTTTGCAAGTCATTTACTCCCTGGATCATCTAGTTCAGGGGGTCTTCAAACTTGGCCCTTTTATGACTTGTGGACTTCAACTCCCAGAATTCCTCAGCCAGGCACGTGTGCCTGGCTGAGGAATTCTGGGAGCTGAAGTCCACAAGTCATAAAAGGGCCAAGTTTGAAGTGCCCTGATCTAGTTCTTCCATGTTTTCAAAAGCAGAGAAGGAGAGGGGTGACATGACAACAGTCCTCCAATATCTGAGGGGCTGCCACAAAGGTCAACCTATTTTCCAAAACACCAGAAGGCAGGACAAGAAACAACGGGTGGAAACTAACCAAGGAGAGAAGCAACTTGGAGTTAAGGAGGAATTTCCTGACAGTCAGAACAATTAATCAGTGGAACAACCTGCCTCCAGAAGTTGTGAATGCTCCAACACTGAAACGTTTTAAGAAGAAATTGGACAGCCATTTGTCTGAAATGATATAGGGTTTCCTGCCTGAGTAGGGGGTTGGACTAGATGACCTCCAAGGTCGCTTCCAACTCTGTTATTCTGTTATCTGCTAGCAACCAAAATCTGGGGCTCAGTTCAGGTCATAAGTTGAGGACAACCTGTATTAATAGCCCCCTTGTCTTGGGCT